AGGAAGGAAGGAAGGAAGGAAGGAAGGAAGGAAGGAAGGAAGGAAGGGAGGGAGGGAGGGAGGGAGGGAGGGAAGGAAGGAAGGAAGGGAAGGAAAAAAGCATTGAGGAGAAAAGAGAAAGAAAGGCCAGAAAGAATGCCAGAAAAGCAGGACAGTCCTGAAAGCTACAGGCTGATCGTATTATATACTTCAAAAGAAAAGTAAACTATACATAGAGACTGACAGTTTCACGTACAATTCTATTTTTCCATTCTAATATATATGTACATCAAAATATTCACATACATATTCAATATATACTATATATATACACATATATACATGTGGATATATATGCATGTATATGTGGATATGTATATATGTACATATGAAATGTCCATTTGACTTAGTATTGAAGTCCAGAACAAAATATTTTTTTAAAAAAAAGAAAGAGATGTAATAGATGCAGAAAAAGCTTTTAACAAAGTACAACACCCATTCCTATTAAAAACACTAGAGAGCACAGGTATTAATGGAGTCTTCCTTAAAATAATAAATGGCATCTGTCTAAAACCTTTAGCAAGCATAATACGTAACGGGGATAAGCTAGAAGCATTTCCAATAAGATCAGGTGTGAAACAAGGACGTCCATTATCACCACTGCTACTCAATATCGTACTGGAAACGTTAGCTTTAGCAATAGGAGAAGAAAAAGAAATTGAAGGTATTAAAATAAGCAAAGAAGAAACAAAGCTATCACTCTTTGAAGATGACATGATGTTATACTTAGAGAATCCTAGAGAATCAAGTAAAAAACTACTTGAAATAATAAACAACTTTAGCAAAGTTGCAGGCTATAAAATAAACCCACATAAATCATCAGCATTTCTGTATATTACCAACAAAGTCCAACAGCAAGAGATAAAAAAAGAAATTCCATTTAAACTTATTGTAGACATTATAAAATATTTAGGAGTCTACCTTCCGAAACAAACCTAGGAACTCTATGAACACAATTACAAAACACTTTTCACACAAATAAAGTCAGATCTAAATAACTGGAAAAACATCAGTTGTTCATGGGTAGGCCAAGCTAAAACAATAAAAATGACAATTCTACCTAAGCTAATTTACTTATTCAGTGCCATACTAATCAAACTACCAAAATATATTTTATAGAGTTAGAAAAAATAATAACAAGATTTATTTGGAAGAACAAAAGGTCCAGAATATCAAGAGAAATAATGAAAAGAAATGCAGGGGAAGGTGGCCCAGTCATTCCAGATCTTCAATTGTATTATAAAGCAACAATCATCAAAACTGCTTGAGACTGGCTAAGAAATAGAGTGGTGGATCAGTGGAATAGGTTAAATATGCAAGACACAGTAGTCAATGACTATAGTAATATATTACTTGATAAACCCAAAGACCCCAGCTTCTGGGATAAGAATCCACTCTTTGAAAAAAACTGCTAGGAAAACTGGAAAAGAGTATGGCAGAAATTAGGCATAGACCAAAATCTCACACCATATACCAAAATAAAGTCAAAATGGGTTCATGATTTAGATATAAAGGCTGATACTATAAGCAAACTGGGAGAGCAAGGAATAGTTTACCTATCAGATCTATGGAGAGCAGAAGAATTCATGACCAAACAGGAGATAGAGAACACTACGAAAAGCAAAATGGATAATTTTGATTACATTAAATTGAAAAGTTTTTGTACAAACAAAGCTAACGCAACTAAGATTAGAAGGAAGGTAGAAAATTGGGAAAGAATTTTTACAACCAGTCTCTCTGATAAGGGCTTCATTTCTAAAATATATAGAGAATTAAGTCAAATTTATAAGAATACAAGCCATTCCCCAACTGATAAATGGTCAAAGGATGTGAACAAAGTTCTCAGATGAAGAAATTAAAGCCATCTATAGTCATATGAAAAAATGCTCTAAATCACTATTGATTAGAGAAATGCAAATCAAAACAACTCTGAGGTACCACATCACACCTATCAGACTGACCAACGTGACAAAACAGGAAAATGATAAATGTTGGAGAAGATGTGGGAAAATTGGAACACTAATGTATTGCTGGTGGAGTTGTGAAACAATCCAACCATTTTGGAGAGCAATCTGGAACTATGTCCAAAGGGCTATAAAAATGTGCATACCGTTTGACCTAGCAATAGCATTTCTAGGGCTGTATCCCAAAGAGATCATACAAATGGGAAAAGGACGCACATGTACAAAAATATTCATAGCAGCTCCTTTTGCGGTGGCAAAGAATTGGAAATTGAGAGGATGCCCATCAATTGGGGAATGGCTGAGCAAGTTGTGGTATATGAATGTAATGGAATACTATTGTGCTATAAGAAATGATGAACAGGCTGACTTCAGAAAAACCTGGAAAGACTTGTATGGTCTGATGCTGAGTGAAGTGAGCAGAACTAAGAGAACGTTGTACACAATAACAGCCACATTGTGTGATGACTAATATTGATAAATTTAACCCTTCCCGGCAATACAAGGATCTAAGACATCTCCAGAGGCCTTGTGATGGAAAATGCCATCCACATCCAAAGAAAGAACTACGGAAGTCGAATTGCTATTTTTTTCTCTTTTGTTGAGTTCTGTTTCCTCTTTCTGATGGTTCCTCCTATTGGTTTTAATTTTTACCTACAACATCACTAATGTGAAAATATGTTTAATATGAATGTAAATGTATAGCCTATATCAAATCGTGCACTGATTGGAGAGGGTGGTGGAGAGGAAGGGGGAAAAAATTTTAAACTCAAAAGCATATGGAAGTGATTATTGATAAATCAAAATAAATTAATAAAAAAAAAGAAAAAGATGGTGAGGCTGCCAAGGAAACCCATACCTCCCCTTCTATACAGCAGTGGTTTTGTTTGTAAGTTGAGAAGCATGTTGCTGCCTTCCTATTGGTAACTGAAAGGGCAGGAATCTGAGGCCATGGAAACTGTCCAGATTCCCTGTTTTTACGCCTGTCAGGAATGTCTTCCTTATTCTCTGATCTCTCCCCGAGACTAAGACACCAATGTTTGTGGGGAAAACTTTGCTTGGATTTCTACTATTTTTAATTTTCCAAGTTAATACTTTCCCCTCCCGTTCCCCAATAGGGCAGATAATTAAGAGATACTGAGAGTTTCAGAAACAAATTTCCACTGGCAACAATCATGCCCCTATTCAAAATAAATAAATGTCATCTTTGGATAGCTTGTTTGTACATAGCTGTTTACAAGTTGTTTCCTCCGTTAGATTGTGAGCTCCTTGAGAACAGGAACTGTCTTTGGCCTTCATACCCACAGCACTTAGCAGAGTGTCTGGCACATAGTAGTTGCTTAATAAATGCTCATGCTTGACTGACTACCAGGGGGTGGGAGGCAATAGCAGCTAGAAGAATATGGAAAGGCTCACATAAGAGGCAGGATCTGAGCTGGGCTTTGAAAGAACCAGGCATTCTATAAGGAAGAGAGGAGGAGGGAATGTTTTCCAGTAAGCGGCATGGGGTGAGTGAATGTCATGAGTGAGGTGTAGCAAGAGGGCCAGTGTGGCTGGACTGACAGGCGCTGGAAGGAGAGGCAGGAGGCAGCTGGTGAGGACCATGAGACGCCAGAGGTGCCGGCGAGCCATCCTGAAGGGAGCAGAAGTCACAGGAGTAGGAAATAACACGGACTAATCTGCATTTTAGGAAAAACATTTTGGCAGCTGTTGGAGGGTGGACTGGAGAGGAGAAAGGCATGAGGGAGGAAACCGATGAGGTGGCCAATTCATAGCGCAAGCAAGAGAGGACTGAGCCCATGAGCTGGGAGAAGGGGGGCGTCCAAGAGAGACATAAAAGGGACAAAATTTGGCACATGACCAGATCTGTGGGGTGAAGACGAGATCCTGGTGGTGGTAGAAGGATGGGGTACCCTCAACAGAAATAGAGCTCTGGGATTGGGGCAGTTTTGGGGGGAAAGACACAGAGCTCTGTCAAAGACTTTCTGAGCTTGAGTCATCTCGTGAACATCCAATCAGATATGCCCAATATGCAACGCGGGGCTGAGACTTGGGGAGAGACATATGACGCTCTTAGGAAAGGCCAAATCCTGAAGGGAGCTCAAGATTCCAAGGGGGGAAGGAAGGAGGGAGAACATCTCCAGAATGGGAGGTAGGTGGCCTGTGCAAAGTTAAGGAGATGGAGACCTGACAACTATAGACTCCTGGTGCTTCCTCAGCAAGGGAGTGTTAACCCAGCCTGTTAACCCGGACTGTCAAAGTCAAGTAGATTAATTTGTAGGTAATTCAGTAGATAATTTAAAGCTCTCACCTTGTGGGCTCCACTTGCTATGACCCATTCTCTCTGATCTTTGACAGCAGAAAGTTTCTGAAAGATATCTAGGCGAGAAAGGAAATCACAAAGTGGGCTTCTTGGTCCCCTCCCATCCCCCCAGTGCTGATCAGTGCCCTGAAAACACCACATGAGGGGACACACTAAGCTGGGCCATTAGCTACATGGGAAATGTTACAAACCATGATGAACCTTCCTGGCCAGCTGAAATTCAAATTATAAAAAGCTTAAAAAGAGGAAAGAGAAGGCAGATCCCCCACAGACTGTCAGTATAGGAAGGACCATTAGGAATAAATGTGGCACAGATGAGGGAATGGAGACTGGTCAAGGGCATCCACCTGGCCCACTGGATCCAGGAGGGGAGAAAAGAGGAGCAGAGGTGAGTTCTATCAGGCTAGAAACTTTCCTCCCCCTTCCTTGGCCTTCCCGCTTTTCCGTCCTGAAGACCTTCTTGGCCTCTTCTCTCTCTTCTCCTACCCGTCCTTTAAAAGGGGTGGGGGTGCGGCAGAGAATGGAGATCTTCTCCCTGGCCTGTCCAGGCACCATTTTCTAGTTAGCTGAATGCCACACTTTCCAATCATCAGAAGGTGAAAGTGTGTCCCTGTCCAGGACCAGAAGGGCTCCTCAGAGATTTGTGGGACTTGAAGCTTAGCTGCTTCTCTTTGGGGCAAAGAGCCACGTATCGACGTGTGGAGAACCTTGCAGGACTGGGGGATTTTCAACTTCAAACAAAGGCATCACCTTGATGGTGGTAATTTTTTTTAAAATTTCATAGAAAACATGTGCACAACCTCTGGAATGACAGTGAAAATCAATGGGAAAACAGGATTTTACCAAAACGGATGGAATGTATCCAGTTCATTTAATGGAGGCTATATATACTTAATAGCTAAATATCTTATTCAATATACCTTCTCACGAAAAAATGTTTTGCAAAAGCTCTGGTCATGATCTGAAAGCTGTTGCTCTATATTTAGTGTATATTGAGATTGGGGGAAGGTAACAGGGAGGACATCCTAGACCTGTGACTTCACTGGGGCAGGGGAGCTCCTGGAGCAGAAAGACCCAGCACTAACACTGGTGGGTGACCAGTCTTCACCTTTCAGACTTAAAGGGCTGTTGTCAGAAGTTACTAAGGTTAAATGACTTCTCTATGTTCACACAGCTGGCTCTGAGTCAGGGGCAGGACCTGAACCCAGATCTCCTTGACGACAAGGCCAGCCCTTAATCCACCCTAAGAACTGTACTTCTTGGTACCTCGAGCTGAAGTTAATTGCATGAGACTCAAGCCATAAGTTTTGTACATCTTAGATACTCAAATGAGCCTCTTTTCTCCCTAACACAAAGAATCATACACGTATTCATTATAAGGAACAGAAAGTCCAATCCAATCCAACAAACATTTATTGAGTACCCACTGAGTACAAAGGACTGTGCTAGATACTGTGGATATAAAAGTTAAAACAAAACCAGCTCCTGTCCTCAAGGAGCTTACATTCTATGGGAGGGTAGAGAATGGACACAGGTGGGTAAAAATAGAGTCATTCGAGAAGAGAGATAGAGAGAGGAGAGAGAAAGAGAGAGATAGAGAGACAAAGACAGAGAGAGAGACAGAGACAAGAGAGAGAGACGGATAGAGAGACAGAGACAGAGAGAAGAGAAAGACAGAGACAGAGAGAAGAGAGAGACAGAGACAGAGAGAGACAGAGACAGAGAGAGAGACAGAGAAAGACAGAGAGAAGAGAGAGACAAGGAGAGACAGAGACAGAGAGA